CTAATGTTTGCCGATGATACATACTTGTTTCTTCGTGCTTCGATTCCTGAATGTGCCCATCTTTTACATATTTTTGAAGAATATGGTTTTGTGAGTGGGCAACGGATTAACTTGCAGAAATCTACCATATGTACTAGTGCTAATGTGAGTGAACAGGAAAAAGCAAGTTTGGCAGCCTTTCTTGGAGTGTCGATGGCGAGTTTGCAGGACAAGTACTTGGGCCTACCAGTCCAGATTCAACGGTCTAAGTCCAGGACATTCCGATTCTTGGAGGATGGATTGGCTGCCCACATTCGTTTGTGGAATACGAAGTCGATGTCGCTGGCTGCCAAAGAGGTAGTGATCAAATCCGTCGGATCTGCCTCAACAATCTACGCCATGTCAGCATTCCGTATTCCGGCTACGTCATGTCGCATGATGAACAGTCAATTGGCGCAGTTTTCGTGGGCTGATCAAGATAAAGAAAAGGGCATTCATTGGCTAGCTTGGCCTGAAGCCTGTCATAGTAAGTTTGAGGGGGGCTGGGATTTCGAGATTTTAATCGATTTAACATCGCACTTTTAGCTAAACAGGCTTGGCGGCTGCTGCAATGTCCTGATTTCTCGATTGCATCGCTATACAAGGCTAGATATCATCACTCTTCGACAATTCTTTCTGCACAGGAGGGCTCTCGTGCCTCGTGGGCCTGGCAGGGACTGCTCGAAGGCCGGGACTTGTTGGCTCGCGGTCTACGTTGGAGGATCGGGAATGGGGCAGCAGTGCATATCCTTACAGATAAGTGGCTTCCCTCTTCTCCTCCTTCTTCTCCTGTACTGCTACCTGATGTCTCCCTCCCATTCACTTTTGTTTCTGAACTAATCTGCCCCCTGACTCATGGTTGGAAAATTGACATGGTGCATAGCTTATTCACAGCGGAGTCTGTTGCTTTGATTCTATCTATTCCATTACCTATGCAGATTATTCCGGATAAGCTGGTGTGGCATTATTCTCCGACAGGTGAGTACACGGTCAAGATAGGGTATCAACTCTTGTCGACAGAGTTAAACAGGTTGCATCCGCCGCGGGACATACCTTATGAGAAAAGATTCTGGAAATTCCTTTGGAATCTGCCTCTACCGCCGAAGCTGCGTGTGTTTTGCTGGAGGATCGCCAGGGGATTTTTGCTGGTATGTGAAGTGCTCTAGTTCAAGAGGTTAGTGGATGATAGTACATGCCCCGTCTGTTCCACTGGCAGTGAAAGCATTATGCACTCTTTCTTTCACTGCCGGGTTGCCGTAGAACTGTGGGAGCTTGCGGAATTGGGTCTGTTGCGAGCCAGGTTATCATCCCTCTCCCACACTGAGTGTTGGCGGGTCCTATTCTTCGATTGTCGTATTAACAAAAATGAGATTGCTAATGTTATATTTCTATGTTGGCGAGTTTGGAAATCGAGGTGTTGGGCGGTTCATAAACGGATCCAATACTTGGGTCCAGCACTACTTCGGCAATATCGAGCCTAGGTGGTGGAATGGCTGGCTGCCATAGAGCCTCTTGCCTTGCATCAGGGAACCCGTAATCGCACTCACCAGGGTCAGCAAGCTGCTTCGGGTGGACAATCCGCCCGCGACGGGGAGTGTCGTCCGGGTGGGGTAGTAGTCCGGGTGGATGGAGCATGGAGACAAGGAGCAGGGGGTGGTATTGGCTTTGTGGGCTTTTCGATGAATGGTGCCTTGCTGTTCGCGTTTGGCAAACACTACCCAGGTATCGATGATCCTTTCCTTATGGAATTGTTAGCGTTTCGTGATGCAATAAATTGGTGTTTGATGCATGGTTTCCTGGTTGTGAATTTCTGCGGGGATTGCCAAACATTGGTGCGAGCTATCCGGGAAAGGGATGTGGCGCATGGTCGGGGCGGTGAAATTTTGGAGGAGATGCGAGTGGCGGTGTCTTCGTTCTCCGTGTTTTCTTGTACTTTTACTCCTCGCAAGTTTAACAGGGCTGCCCATTTAGTGGCACAACAGGCCTTTTATCGGCAGTTCGACTACTTGTCGACTGGCGCGTTTGGTTGTGTGATGTTCTCTAACTATTTATTTTCATCTATCTATGCCAATATATATATATATATATATATATATATATATATATATATATATATATGTGCAGACAGCCAGACACCCGCGGCCATTGGCCGGGCTAAAATGCTAGTAACATTTTTATAGGTTTAAATAAAAAGGATTTCCATACAAAATATAGAACACCCGTATATTTACTTTGATTTATGAATCTTTCCATGAAAAGGAAAGAAGAGGATCAAATCTAACTAGAAAAAGAATCCGGGGGATCAAATCCCTGATTCAGCAATTAGTATGCGACGCTGCAGCCTGTATGTGTGAAGCCATCTACCCTCCATCTTCTTCTACTCCGATTCCTGCATCACAGAGAGAGAGAGAAAGCCAGCCAGTAGCCAGATCTTCCAACTCGTGTAATAAAATATATGCAGAAAACAAAGTAGGACTCGTTAAAGTCAACTCGATCGATCGCTATCATCTGGGTTCATGGATTGACTGAGCATAGCCCCTTTCCCCACATCTCCATTTCCATTTGCAGAGCGGGGACAAGATTTTGGGAGCAGATGATGGCGGGAAGAAGAGTCGGGCCATTGATGCGGAACAACAGCAGCGGCGCCGCCTTCATCAAATCCAGAGTCGGAATCGCGGTTGCGCTCGGGATCTTGCTCGGTTGCGCCTTCGCTTTCTTCTACCCTCACGGCTTCTTCTTTTCCTCTACTAGTGCTCGCCTCCAAACTTCCTCCCTCCGCTCCGTTATTTCCCAGGTTCCTCTCTCGTCTCTTTGTTGTTGATTTCTTATGGGGTTTGCTTTCTCTTGTTTACTTTGCATCTTTGTCTATTTTTTTCCTTGGAATATGCGTTATGACGCAACACCGTTGACGGTTGGTTGTGGGTTTCTTGATTTGGATTGTAAAGGGTTTTTTAATCGATTAGGGGGCATTAATTTTGCTTGAAACACAGGCAAAAAGGTGGAGGGGAATTAAATGGCTAAAGTGGAGAGCTTTTGTGTATGATCTTGCTAACCCAATTTGGCAAGTACATGATTGTTTCATATTCAATATCTCAGATCATGAACTGGGAAGTTAGTCTTGTTGCTTAATCTCTCAGATCATAGACTGGATCCCACCATTCCATATGATGGTCTGTTCTTCATCCTGAAACTAGTAGCAGAACAAAATATTCCACCATTGATGATCTGTGTTGTGTCATATTTCTGAAATTTCTATTGCTTGAAATGGAGGGTTTAGAGGGGAATGAATTTTGGTTGCAGATCATCAACTCAACTCAACTCATGTAGCTCTTTTCTTTAGGTGGTATCAACCTCCTGCGAACCATCCGAGAAAGTTAAAGCCTTAAAATTCGAATTTGCTGAAGCATCAGAGAAGAATGCAGAGCTGCAGAAACAAGTCAAGGAGCTAACTTCAAAGCTCAGGTATGCTGAACAAATCAAACAACAAGCAGAAACTCAAGTTGCCATATTAGGCCAACAGCACAAGGCTGGACCTTTTGGTACTGTCAAGGCTCTACGAACAAACCTCGAAGTCATCCCAGACGAATCTGTGAACCCAAGGTTGTCAGCCATACTTGACAAAGTCGCCGTCCAGAAAGAACTCATAGTCACTCTAGCCAACTCGAATGTGAAAGAAATGCTCGAGGTCCAGTTCACCACCATCAAAAAGCTTGGCATACCCAATTACTTGGTTGTCGCTTTGGATGATGAAATTGTTGACCTTTGTGAATCCAATGACATTGCATTCTACAAGAGGGACCCCGATGAAGGTCTCGATTCAGTAGGAAAGTCCGGTGGCAATCACGCTGTCTCGGGCTTGAAATTCCAGATCTTGAGGGAGTTCCTGCAGTTGGGCTATGGTGTTCTTCTCTCGGATGTCGATATTGTCTATCTACAGAACCCGTTTAATCATCTATACAGGGATTCTGACGTGGAATCGATGACAGATGGACATAACAACATGACCGCCTACGGATATGATGACGTATTTGATGAGCCATCCATGGGATGGGCTCGGTATGCTCACACAATGAGGATATGGGTCTACAACTCAGGGTTCTTCTACATTAGACCGACGATTCCTTCAATCGAGCTATTGGATCGTGTAGCATATCGCCTTGCTCACGAGACTGCGTGGGATCAGGCAGTGTTCAACGAGGAGCTGTTTTTCCCGTCGCATCCTGGCTACGATGGATTGTTTGCTTCAAGAAGGACCATGGATTTGTATCTTTTCATGAACAGCAAGGTTCTGTTTAAGACTGTTCGGAAAGATGGTGAGTTGAGGAAGAAGGTGAAGCCAGTGATTGTTCATGTGAATTATCATCCTGATAAGCTCCCCAGGATGAAGGCTATTGTGGAGTTTTATGTTAATGGAGACCAAGAAGCATTGAAGTCTTTCCCCGATGGATCAGAGAAGTGAAACAATGGCGATTCGGTTCATTAGGAAAACTCTACGTTTTGGCTAGTTCTTCATGAGCAAAAATTTGTAGTCAATTTTGAAGGTTCTCATGTGTGAATGTATCATTTGTATGTCTGAGCCATTTTAGCTTGACCACGGAGATAAAGAAGGAAAGTTACTGTTGAGTTCACGGTGGAAAGAAAATTGCAGAGGGATTTCTGTTTATCCTGTATTCTGTTCGGTTCTTCTAGCTCAAAATAATTTTGTATCAATGACAAGACGGTTGTTCATATCTCAGTTTTGGTCTCATCACAAATTTAATCTTGACAAATTAACATCATTTAATCTACACAAAGATCTCAATCTAGTTGGCTGAAATATGTGGCACAATAAAAGATCTACGAATCATAATGGCGATTAGTAAGAATTCCAGGCTGGTTCTTGGTTGGTGGGTTGGATGGAGCTTAAAATGTACACGAACTTAGATGGCAACTGCCAAATAATTAAACCACCAAAAAGAAACAAAATTTCCCAATAATTAAACCATTATTATTATTCTGCAAATGGTGCTTTAATTAGTTAGTTCAGTCACTGATAATCATTAATATTCTTCCCACTTTCTTTCTTTCTTTCTCTCCAGCACGATTCCGTTGGACATGGAAGAAGACGACAGCAGTTTCTGCTCCCGGTCCAGCTTTGATACTTGTCACCCACCCATAACCGACGGAAGATCACTAGCTGCCTAGCCCTAGTAGGGTCACTGCCTGCCTCCCCAGACAAGCCAACACAAAAGGGCAACCCCCATTCCTCCATTTCAATTCAAGTTTCAAACTTCTTGAGCTCACAAAACGAATCTAGCTTTTCAGTTGTTTGCCGCCTTAAGAATGGCGCTTCTGTTTTGGTGTACCTTCGTTGCAGTCTCCACTTCCATGTGACCAGTTTCCCGACTTCCGGCAATAAGGTTGGTGGGTCTCTCTCATATCTCGTTTTTGCCATTGTTTGTAACTCCTCTTTCCCCAAGATTTGAACCTATCGCTGTCTTCTTGGGCAGTCTGCCATTTCTTGATGCTGTGGAATTTGGTTGATACGCTTTGCAACGAGGCGAATAAGTTTTGTTTCTTTGATGTTTTGGATCTTGTAATTGCTTGGCTTGTCTAGCTGCTTACCTGCTTGCTAGTGAACTCTCCTGTGAATGTTTCTTTTGTGAATTGTGGTATTTTGTTATAGCCTTTCTATGAATTGGGTTTGTAATTTCTCTGAAGAAAAACGAATCAAGAACTGGAAAATGGAGTATGTTTAGATAGTCTGGTTATTGGGTTTATCTTGTACCCTTTCTACCAGCACTCTTGCAGTACAATTTTGCTTTGGTGTGAGCCTTCATTTCTGTTCCAGAACAAAAGATCAGAACTTTCTTAGATAGGAGAGAATGGGTTGCATGAAAGAAGTACACTTATCTAGGTGTCTAGCTCCTTTGCAATGACATATTTCCAGCCAAAATGGGGTTTGCTCGGTTCACCGAGCTTGCGAGTGAGTTCATAAGACTCTTTTAGCTGGAATCAAGCCTTGAAACTAAAGTCTGGTAGACCTAAAATCTGCCCTTGTTTCAGAATAAGCCCTCACTTCTCTTCTTTGTTTTCTGACTCATTCTCCACCTGAACATAGGACCAGGACCTTGCTAAGCAAAGACATAAATTCCTGGTCTTTTGGCTTACATTAAAAGGAGGAAAAACACATGGTATCAGGAGGATCACAGAACGGAAGTCGATGGCAGACCATTGTGCCTTCCCCTTTCAAGACCAAACTAGCCAACAGATTCTGCATCTTCCCTAAGGTGAAATGTACAGGTTATGGCCCTGGTGACACCCCTGTGTATCTCAATGTGTATGACCTTACAACAGCTAATGGTTATATCTATTGGGCTGGCTTTGGAATCTTTCACTCTGGAGTTGAAGGTAATTAACTATTTACGGAGTTTGCATTGGCTACTGACTTCCCACTGAGTTTTCGAATGTCTTAAAAGTATAAAACTTAGGCGACAGAACCGTTGTTGTGTTTGCAGTGCATGGAGTGGAGTATGCTTTTGGAGCCCATGACTTCTCGACCACAGGTGTGTACGATGTGGAACCTCGAAACTGCCCTGGTTTCATCTTCAGGAGATCCATCTTCATGGGGACTACTTCCTTGAACGCGAAGGAGTTTCGAGAGTTCATGGAGGTTCAGTCTGCTGACTACAATGGTGATACTTATCATTTGATCTTCAAGAACTGCAACCATTTCACCCAGAATGTCTGTTACAAGCTCACTGGCAACTCCATCCCAAAGTGGGTCAATCGGCTGGCAAGAATAGGTAAACTCTGTCAAATTACATGAATCCTCACTGAACTTAGGGATCACTGCCAATTGCTTTCTCGAAGCGTAGTGGTTAACATAAACAAATGATCATTTTTCCAGGTTCAATGTGCAACTGTGTGCTCCCTGAGACACTTCAGCAGGATACGAGGGTGAGGGATGAATCAAGTTGCCACCAAGAGGAGTGCTATAGCGAGAAGAAGAGGCTGAGAAGCGCCTTCAGCGCGCTGTCATCGATCTCAATCTCTCAAATGGACATATCAGTTCCGAAACTGTTTAGACATTCCCACTACAACCAGCCATGGGAGTTCAGGAGGTCTAGAGTAAAAAGGGTCACAGAAGCAGGGTCCAAGTGAAATGCCGCTTTCAGTTGTTGCAACATTATTGATTTGATTGCATTCATTGATCTGCTGTTATGGAAAAGTGGTTCACCAGCAAAGCAGCTGATTTTGTTATATACATGTTTATACTAAGCTGGGTCCTGCTTGACTGTACGGCTGCTGGTGCATCGAGTTGTTATTAGAACTATATTTATTCAAGAAAATTTTGGGACAAAAGTTGCGGTAACAACTCACAAGTCATATGGATTTGCAAGAATTGTTCTTGAACATTATCCATATCTCTCTTTAATCCAATAGTGTACTATTAGAGATGGCTATTTCGATCTTACTCGTTACTTGTTTTGGGCAGAGCGTAATATACATTGTGTGAGATTCTCCATCTTTAAAGTAATTTGATTTTATTGATCATAATATCATATCACCATCTCTATGTCTAACGTTTCTAAAATTTAAATGACATAATCTATTTGTATCTTTTTCTTTAAGACGCATATTTCAAATGGATCGTTTGCACGACCTTGCTCATACCTCAAGCAACATTCTGACCCAAAACATTGACAAATTTTTAGTTGGTGCAAAATTAGGGATCATTTTATTAATTATCAAAGTATTAAGGGGTCGTTTAGATGGATCAATTCTGAAACTGGACAATTTAATTAATTGTCTCATGATATAAAACGAGTCAATTCAAGTTACCTGCCCCACCTCATACCATTGAAATTAACTGAAAATGAATCCATAAGAAATTCCTATACCTAACCGATCTATCCAAAATTTGTGATAACAAATGGACCAATTTGATCAAAATTTGTGATAACAAACGGCATGATTCCCTGTCTCTGTCTGTCACTCACTCACTCCCTTAGACGTGGGAACAAACATATACACATTTTCTCTGCACAACGAGAAATGCATACAGCCAGCACTGGACCAACAATAAAAGGGTAAAATATCTCCGGTACCACTAAAGTTTGAGAACTGGGACAGACATACCACTTAAGTTTGAATAGGGCGTCGGGTACCATTAAAGTCACCAAAATGTGCATCCGTCTAATTTTCCATCCAACCCAAAATTTTAATTACTTTTTGGTACCCAAAACTTTTAAAAATATCCAAAACTATATTTCAACAAGTTTTTATCTAATAGAGAAATTAACAAACCTTCTAAACATAATATTACTAAAATGACTAATCAAAATTTTCAATAAAATAAATAAGTTAGTAAAAATAATAAACAAATATCAAGAAGAAGAATAAATATATAGAATATAATAATAAATATTTAAAATCAATATTAGAAGATCTATTTAAATCACTAATCCGATAAGAAGTAGCATTAAACATAGTTAAAATAGAATCTAATCGATCATCAATACATCAAGACCAAAGAATGATAAATGGAACATAGTTAGAAAGAATTAAACATATTACAGTAATTGAAGAAAATTTCGAACGAAAATAGAACGAAAGTAACCAAGAAAATTATACAACATCCAAATGATGTACGAGAATTAAATATAACATCCTCATATATTTATATCGATATAGAATTCATAGGATATATTTGCTTAAGCAAATTATTCGATTATTATAACACATAATGGTAATTTAAAGTACTTATAATGATAATTGATTGTACATTTTCTATTCAAAAATTGGTTTTGTATCAAAATCTTCAAAAAAAAAAAGAGAATAATTCAATTATTAGAAAACATAATAATAATTGAAAATACTTATAATAATATTGATTTTAAATTTTCTGTTCATAAATTAATTTGGTATCAAGTTTTCAAAAGAGGATACCAATTAAATAATAAAAATTGATGTTTTTCATAAGTCAAAAATGATTTTTTACAATAAGAAAAGTAGAAGGACCAATTAAGAAATTTAGAAAACAGAATATTCCAAGAATATTCTGTTAACTTTAACGGAATGCACTTAACATTAAACTTAAGTGGTACCGGGTGCACAAATAATAAAGTTCAGTGGTACCCGACGTCCTATTCAAACTTAAGTGGTATGCATGCCCCAATTCTGAAACTTAAGTGGTATCCGAGGTATTTTTACCACAATAAAACAGCTAATGATGCACTCACTGACAAAGGTAAAGTTGAGACCAGGCCACTTCTCCTGTCTCTTCTAATTTCTCCTCCAAAAGTTACCTCCTTTTTCTCATTTCCCTAATCTTCTGCTTCCATTTCTGAATCCAGTAGTTGAGAATTCCTCTAAATCAACACTTACCCAGTAGAGATCCCTGAAATGGGAAAAGGAGGTGGGTGTTTCCCCAGCAAGACAAGGTCCCCCATTGGAGTACCACCTGATCCCAACAGCACCCAAGCTTCTCCAGCTCCATTGATTCCAGAAGAACCAGCAGAAGAAGAAGAACAACAAAGTCGAATCATTACTACCGTTCGGAAGACCAGCAATGGAGAAGTAGTAGTAAGCAAGAGACGGCTCAAGATTTTCATCGTCTTCTACTCAATGTACGGGCATGTGGAGATACTGGCGAGAAAGGTGAAGCTGGGGGTCGATTCGATTGAAGGGGTTGAAGGGGTGCTGTTTAGGGTTCCAGAGACTCTGGCGAATGAGACTCTAGACCAAATGAGAGCTCCCCACAAGGGCAACGATGAGGTTCCTTTGATATCTGTGGAAGAGATGACGAATGCTGATGGGTTCTTGTTTGGGTTCCCCACCAGGTTCGGTTCCATGGCTGCTCAGATGAATGGGTTTTTTGACAGTACTCATGAGCTGTGGATGGAGCAAAAACTGGCTGGGAAACCAGCTGGGTTCTTTGTCAGTACTGGTACTCAAGGGGGAGGCCAAGAGACCACTGCGTAAGTTGTTCTCTCATCACATTCTCATTGTTGCTACAGAAATTTCTTCATTAGTGATTACAGAATATTGGGTTCTGAAAAATATTTCTGGTGTTCTTGTTTAACCTACTACTGCAGATTGACAGCAGTAACTCAGCTAGTCCACCATGGGATGGTGTATGTTCCAATTGGATACACATTTGGAGCTGGAATGTTCAGAATGGATGGCATCAGAGGAGGTTCTCCGTATGGCGCAGGTGTGTACTCTGGAGATGGAAGCAGAGAGCCGAGTAAAACTGAACTGGGTCTTGCTGAACATCAAGGAAGATACATGGCCACTTTGGTCAAAAGATTTGGTCATTTCCCATGATTTGACACCTCTGTGGGAAGAACTCCAACATATCTGCATATGATTCTTTTTGTATATAGGATTGAGTTGGGATTGGATTGGATTGGATATCAAAGTTTCTGCTTTGCAGCTAGAGCTTTGAACATTTTGTAATCTTCATTGGTGGGTATTTGTTTGTCTCATCCACACATGTATATATGGTTTGCTCAGTTCTTGTATGTTGTTGTTTCTTTCAATGAACTCCATTCATTTGTAGCTTCATCCCACAAGAAGGCTGCATATGTGACTTTCCTTAACAAAAAGTGTACCCATTTGTACCTGTTAAGTCAATACCATTATATCTTCGTCGATGACTCATTAACGATGTTGCAGAGTAGATTAATACACTTATTAACTTGGATCAGTTTTAAATTCTTAATCTTATCGGATCTTATTCATCATAAAGTTATGGGATGATCTATTAGTAAAATTATTTTTAGTCTCCAGCAATCTTGCATCTAAATCGTTGGATATTGCAGTAATCCGGGCGAAATTGCGTATTTTGAAAAGTGCAAGTTAGAAATAGTGTGAATTTTTTTAGTAAGTATGGTATTTTGCAGTGTTATTAAAGCCGAGCCGCTCGGCCCGACCGGTAAAACCGCCACCCGGTCACAAAATCGGCTCGGAACAGTCTAAAAGCCGCTCCGGTTTTATTTAGCGGTTGGCGAGCGGCCGAGGCGGTTAACCGTTCGAGCCGATCGAGCCGCTCGTCCGATTTTTGCCATTCAGCCACTAAATTTAATTAAAAAAATTGTAGAAAATTGAAAATTGAAATAAACCAAAAACGTCGGGCTCTCAAATTGAATCCTTATTTCCATTTCACAATTTTGAAGGAAAGAGATGAGCTTTGATTAAGAAATGTCCACTATTTATACTGATGACGTTTATTAGGTACCGGTTCTCTAACGGTTTTTAAACGGTCTAATGCCGTTCGCATTACCGGGTCATGCTCCGGTTCGGTTCTGACAACATTGGTATTTTGGAGAAAATCCGAGTGGGTAGGAGGTCAAGTCATGTACCGGAAAAAAAAGTCATCGACTGAAATGAAAACAATTAGAAGTTAGTAGACCAAATCGATAAATATGAGAAAGTTATGCGGTTAAGAGGAGGAGACGCTCGCACTCTTCAGTCTCTCCAGCCCTAGTTTTTAGTCTGGCGGTGGTGTGCCGTAGAAACGAAAACGTAAAATTCAACCGAGAAGAAACCGCGCCGGGAAAAGGAAGAAGAATGTCGACCGAAGAGGAGAGCGCAGTGAAGGAGCCATTGGATCTCATCAGACTCAGTCTCGACGAACGCATCTACGTCAAGCTCCGTTCGGACCGGGAACTCCGCGGCAAGCTTCATGTAATGTGCTTCTCCTCTTTACTACTTTCTTTGTTCTGCTGTTGCTTCCATACCACCCGAATTTCCGGCGAGAGCCGCATTCGGTGACCACTCGGCTCACCCTTTCCGTTTCTTCCCTCGCTGAGCTCAAGGATGGCTGAATTGTTATCGTGTCCGCGAATATTGACTTTAGTTGTCTTGTCTGCTAGTTCGTTCTGTCTCGGGTATGGTTTAATTAGGGTTCTAGCTATACGCGAGATAGGGTTGGTGAACGGCGCCTGCAATTTCAGTTTGCGAGAGGGTTTCTTCTTTTTGTGTATGGGCTAAGATTCTGGAGACTAGCGAGGAGAGGTGTGAGATAATTCGTGTGTGGAAATTGTTTCTGAAGTTGTCCATTTCTATCGCCAGATGTGAATGCTCAAAGGCTAGGAGTTTACTGGATGCTGTTCTAGGGTTTAAGATACAATGGGATTACGGGGAGGATTCGATTGTTTGAGAGGGTGATGCTTTTGGCTGTGGTAGTAGTACTGGTCATGTATCTCCTTTATCCTATATGTCCAGGGCACGCATCTTAATGCGAAAACTTGTACAAGATCCACACTTGTAGTTTATTTTTCTTCGGGAGAGATCTTATAGTTAGCTCATAGGAGCTTCCTAGAGGAAACAGTCAAATGATGCGTCAAATCAGACAAAGAATCGATTTTCCCTTACTGCAAATGTTTCGAGGATTCTTTGTGGCTTCTTTGGCAATGGTTTACTTCATGATAACCCAATCTAGTGATTCTCCTTGATACATTCCCCTCACTTGATCTTGGCAGTTCATTACTTTGGGAACTGAATCACTACTGCCTGGCTTTGCAGGCATATGACCAGCATTTGAATATGATTCTTGGGGATGTGGAAGAAACTGTGACCACAGTAGAGATCGATGATGAGACTTACGAAGAGATTGTCAGGGTAATTTGGCTTATCTGCTTTCTTTTAAATACTCTGGTGATTAGCAAATTTTAGTTTGATATCTGCACGTGAACACAAAGCATTAGCATGAAGCATCAGCTCATGAGTGGCATCATGTCTGAACTCTGAAGTGCAAAAAGCTGTGATAAATCAGTCGAATGAATGATAACCAGTATTCAATGTAGGAAGCTACTGCTTTACAATCAAGCATAGCATTCGTACTTATCTTGGCATTTCTAGGTACTGACTTATCCTTTTCCACTCTTATTACAGCACACAAAGCGCACAGTACCTTTTCTGTTTGTCAGAGGAGATGGTGTCATATTGGTTTCTCCACCATTGAGGACAACCTGATGATCTGCAAGAGATGAAATTGCGAAGTGCAGTTGGTGACTTCAACTTTTAGGAATGCGCTCTCATTTACTGTAATTTTTTCTTGTGTACTTGCTCAAGCTAATGGTGATCAACTGATGATTGTCAGGCAGCATATTATGGAACTGCGATGATCATGTTCTGATCACCGTGTAATTACTCTTAAGCACCGAGGTTTTATAATTTGGTGGAAGTGGCTGCCCATGTTCTAGCATGATGTTGTTTCTTCCAGAACTTCGTCTTGTTTCGGAATTAGTAATTTGATTTTGCTGAGAGTATAAAGATGAAACTTGACTAGAAATGGCAATAGGTAGAAAAATAATTTCAAGCATCAATGTAGAGTCACAATACTCCATTAATTCATATAACAATATATTACACACCCAATGTACAAAGGCAAAGGATGAAGCTTCCATTTTATGCTGTAAACCAAACCGAGAACATCATACAATCGAATAACCAATATTCAGCTGCGTCCTCTTTCTCTACACTCATTCGTATTTTAAAGGGGAAAAGAGCTTTTTCTAGAAAAATAAAATAGAATAAAAAGGCTTCAAAGGACCAAATCAATATTCCGTTCTTCTTGGCTCTACTGGATCTACAGAACTAACATACAACAAGCTACAGAATACACACAAACCCAAGAAATTAAACTTCACACAAGTAGCGACGAGTTTCGAGGATCATCATCGGCGTTTGCCTCTGGAGGAGTATCCAGGAAGAGCTGGAACTAACGGCTGCGGTGCCTCTCTGAAGTATCGGTTCGGAGAGTCCACTGAACCTCTCAAGTCATATGCCTCTTTGGCGGAACCTGGCATCGTGTCCAAGGGAACTGCCTCGATGAAGCACGCTGTGTTCATGCGAGTTCTCTCCAGCTCGTCTTGCAGCAACTCCGCGCTGCATTGCTGTGCAAGAGCCTGAAGCCAACAACATTACACAACAACAGTGAGAATGCCACAAGAGATGGGGCACAGCAGGCGAAAGGCCATCATGCAGAAACAGAAAATGAGTGTGTTCTTTCTTTCTTACAATCAGGTCATCTGGAGATACAGTCAGTCCGCCTTGCTGCCTGTCGTCAGAAGCTGCTTCCTCACTCCCACGAGTTGGCCGACGTTGGTGGCCTGGATTCTCGGCAACGTCAGAGACATTCTCGGTGGCTTTCTCCAACAGCATGCCTTGCAAGGACTTCAGCGACTCTCTTGCAGCAGGTGTGAAATATGGGTTTAAGATAGTCTCAAAATATTCGAGCTGCAAAACATGCAAGGAAAATCGATCAGGATCCCGTAAAGCATTTACATACCTTGCAGTTGTAGGTTCAGTGAACTGGAAAACTGAAACCGATCAGCCACACGCACGGAAAACGTATACCATTCACATTTAAAAAAAAAACATAAAAAAACCAATTGCCATATATTGCAGGACTAAGAAATAAACACCCTGCGGATTTTCAGAACAAGCCACTAATAAGTACCAACTATAATAACTACACTGGGATTGCTGAAAATTAAGAGAACTAACCTCAATCATCAGCTGACAAAAGCCATTTGCATCTAGCGACCGAAATTCTCCATCTTCATTTTCGTGAAAAAGGCTAAGAAAAGTATCAATCAGCCCCTCCACGAGAATGCCAAGTGTCCTGTCCAAGAGCGGCTTTGCACCAGCAAACACCTGCAAATGCTCCAAAATTAACAAATGTCAGGTCACTTTGCACATTATGACCAGAAACCCACAAGGCCAATCAGTCGTATAAATTCATTAACCTAAGCCATCTTACTCACTGCTCTGAAATGAACAAGAGCGCCAAGATTATTTTTCATCTATAAGTGATTGTGTCTATCTGTTATCTGTCGGAGGAAAACTAACCTCAGCATGCACCGAGACCAGAGTGTGCAACAATTCCACAGCTCCATCACGAACGCCCTGCAGGATTGTGGCAGTCATATATTACCGATAGTACACTAAGGAGTTCATAGCAACAACCTACAGAAAACAACGGACAAGAATGCCATCAAGTGCTCACTTTGACAGCAGGAGCTGCTCCCCATTGGATCCCAGAGTTCAGCAAATAGTTCATAGCTGATGTCCTTATCAAATTTGCCTGTAATAAAAATAAGAAGTTAAGACACCAAAATAGAAAAGTTAGAGCCAAGCTTCCCATTTGATGTCAGATAGAGGGAAATCGTAGATAACTTGTTTTCATCTTCATTTAAATTTTAAGCTTGACCTTTAGAAGTTTTCAACAATCAGCAGTGATGACTGCAGCTCTTAAACATAATATAAAAACTAGGAATACTATTATGTCTCAGTTTAAATAATTTCCAGTGCTGTTCAGCACATGCCATCCACTCGACCATCTTCTGTTCCCCACCAACACAGAGACCGCATGACTTTCCCAACAAGCCTTCAAGCTCCATGTGTGTGCATTGTGCAATATGGTTGACCCAAAAAGTAAATAATATCATGTAGTATACCTTTGCAAAAGTATATTGTTCAAGGACCTTCTCTTCAAGCGCAGAGAAAGACGTCACTAAATCATGTATGTCAATGTCACCTTCATCACTTTCTCTGCGGTAGAACATAAGATTATAGACGGTCATCATATGCACACAGAGTGCAAGCATACTACTTGTATAAAAAAGGACGATGTGAAATAATGCAGGTAGACCAATGCAATGATGCTTGAAGAACGAATGAAAAAGCCGTGAGTGATGCTCAAACCTGAATAGACGATTGAACCAAAATGATAATCAATAAGATTAGCCATAATGAAGTAGAAGGAGAAGTAGAAACAACAGCGCAGCAGCCACACTGTTGGGCAGTTGGCAGCAAATTATGTGATCCTCATGCATCACTGAGCTAGTTCAGCTAGTCACCAAATTTGATTTTTGGGAGGAGATGGACGGACTATAATGAATTAGTTAGTATGATAGCAGAGAAGAGAAAATCGTCCAGTATGCAGTTTTCGAACACTAACAATGCAAATATGATGGTATCCCACCTAGGCAGGATTTTACGCCTCACCCCCAAAAGCGATAATGAAGTACTTGAGTCTAGTATACCTAGATTGCAGCCATACACACTTGTACTTCGTGAAAAGCTCGTGTGAGAGTTCGTCTTTGCAGTATCCAATATTACTTAACACAATCAGCAACTTTTGATGGGAACTAACAGCTCCTGTGGAATTGAATGATAATTTCTCTTCCACCTCATGAGAATATCCATTCTGTAAGTTTGATTTATTTTCTACTAGCTCGGTCCCAATATGTTCCAGATGACCTAAAAAGGACACATGAACAGAATACTAGTTATCAGGCAAGAAGCTATAAGATACCTCAAATCTGTAACAGACAATAGATCATATACTGCACCTGCGAAGTCCAGAAAGCAGTTGAAGAAGGCAAGTCTAATGGATAATTGAATCTCCTGGACTTGTGCATATAAATCTTCTGACTTCCCGACCTCACCCTTTAAGGATTGAACTAACCTGCAAAGGTAGAGATTTGAGATATAAGAGATAAGTATAACAGTCAGGAAGACCCCGTTACACCCTCCACTGGCAATCGGTTCTCACAGGTTGTAACGCCCACAAAGGACATAACATAACCTTGATACAGATGACAGAAATGGATACCAGTGAAACAAGCTATGGACTAATCATGATATTCATTCAGTTGTTGAAATTAACCCAGTGTCCTAATCTGGTACCCTGCGTATCAAGTAACTTACAAATTGATCTGATCCATTGCTGATGCTACAACCGAGCGGAATGCAAGAGGAAGGAAAGAGATTCTGTAAGGCGATTTATCCCTTTCAAGGACTGATACAGTAGTCCACGTTTCATCTCTTGGCATCTCTGCAGTAGTTGCCCGCATCCAGTTGCAAAGCCGGAGTATGTATATCTTTGTAATCTCAGCCTGAAGAGATTTGAGAGCTAATGCTGCAACAGAATGGCAAAACCGTTAAAAGTGCAGACTAAGGATAAATCTTGTTTTAGCATGCAATACAAACCAGCAGTAGGTGGAGCAGATTCTTTCACTTCAAAAGCTTTGCAGGCTTTAGATATTTCTTTTATGGCATCGCTCATGTAAGAACGGAGAATATATGATTCCTCAAGGTCAGCAAATGTGCCATGAACCTGTTTCAGAAGTAAACTCGTTTAGAGATGATATTTTGTCTAACTGCAGGACGAAAAATAGAAGCCAAAAATGCTGCGACTTCAAAGATGTTATCACTTGCAAACACGAAAAACTAAAATTACCAAGATGCTGTACATAATCTGTTCATGAGTACATTATTATGACTCCTATAGTTCTATAACTAGGCATTTACAACACATTCAATGGCCATGCAGTTCTAAAAGTCCCACAGGTATAGAGGAAATTATTTGCAATGTGCCGTAAAAATCCTACAGTTTTAAATTGAAACTCAATAGCTATACAGTTGGACAAGTCCCACAGGTATTGAAGTCATTTCTCTGCTATGAGTCGAAAAGTTAGTTAACTTTATTTGTTTCCTTAATTTGAATAGAAAAATGACAGTCTGCAGCAGCATACAGCAATTTATGCCCAATGGTGCAGAAATCTGATCTTCATTCCGATCTGCATTATGTTTAGCATGAATTTGCTGAGCCAAAACTGAACTGACGACTTTGGCTCTGTTGGGACCCAGAAAGAGTGCACCCCAGGACAGAATCAGCCAATAAGACATACTAATAATACATGATGAAGTCAAGAAAAATTAATCAAGTTCTACCAAAAATTAGAAAATCTCAATCATGAAATAAATCCTGCACCAGCAACTAGCAATTATAGACTATCTCGGTTACTCAACCAACTATAATCCTACCTATCCTTATTTATTTTGGGTGAAGATGAAAAAAAGCCTCTAATAAATGCCGGCAACCACAAGCATATGAATTGCGATACTGAAAGTAAAAAGAAAGAGCAGATTACCTTCGCTTCATATGCAGATATAGTGCTGCGTATCATTCCAGCAACCTCATCAAGAGAATGAGTCGAGCACCTTACATCTACGACTTTTTCTTCAGCCTTATTTGAGGCACTAAGATTTGACTCAGCAGACACTTGGGAAGACTGAAACAAAAGGACTAAGTCACAAAAATTGCTTACAACCCACACTGATACTTAACAGAAATTCTACTAAAGAAGAAGCATATGGCTTTCAATTCCATAAAAAATGGATAACTTTATTTAGGCGACATTTCAAACCAAAATATTTCAGCTAATTCCATAAATTGGCATTAGCTCAGGATGACAAAGAACTTATTATGCCCATG